TATATATAATTATTATTATTATTATTAATGTATAAATTCGAGCGAGTATAAAAACAAAAACACTTGTAACGTTTTCATTGTCGAGCTTTGAGTTATAATTGAGCGATAAACTATTTATAGTTGTACGCGTGCGTAAATGTGTTCTCGCATATTAATCTTATTTTATAATGCACCAGGAAATTAATTTAAACGCGCTATTCCAATGCGAAATCAAGCAATTATGTGTTTTAGTCGGTTCGATAAAAGTCGAACGGATACACATTTCAAATTAGGTTACATTGAACAGTGGTGGTGTATGAAATTATGCATTTTATAACGAATCGAAATCGATATGGTTTTGTACGTTGTGCGCATTATGTTACACAATATAATTCAGGTTAATAATCATAGTTAAAATTGTGTACGTTAAAATAAAATGTTGTCGATTCTTGACATGACTACCCAAATAACACAAGAAAATCAGTAAACGACAATGAAATATCTCACGATGAATATTTGTTCTCGATAAATATTCATAAATTTTATCTCAAAAATGTTATCTTATGTCTGAACAACTCGGTGATGGATTTCTATAATCGTATTGTTGAAATAAATTTTGATTATACGACAAACATTTTTTTATTTTTTATTATTGAATAATTGATAAATAAAATGAAATTTGTTTTGTCGATTTAGTTACCATTGTTTAGGTTATGTTAAATTATAAACATATTGAATATTTATATACCAAAAAATTATATATGTAGTATATTATATTATAGTTTTTTTTTTTAATTTATATTTATATATATTTTTATAATTTTATATTTATCTTATATTATTCGGAAATATATAATAAATAACTAACTATTATAGTGATTTAAAATGAATTATTGTTTGAAATAATAACTTTATGAGAATTTCATCTCTATTAGTATTTTAAATGACTAGAAAAACTAAAAAGGTATTTACAATTTTTAAACTAATAACTTATAGTATTATTTATAAGACAGATGTGATAATTGTGAAATCTATGTGGAACGATATTTGTATATCTTACATTTTAACCTATAATACATACGATTACATTAATATGTTCAAATGATTATTTTTACGAATATTTACATAACAATTTACAATGTGTCATACATTATCATGGTTTATGCGAAAACGAAAGGAACCAATAAACGGTTTCCGATAGGGTTTTCTGAAATTATGATATGCAAATAAATACAACACTACAGACTTTTTATCGTAGAAATGTTTTTTGTAATCGTAAATACGTAAGTACACCAGTGTTTTTAATTTATGAATACTGAAACTATTACAAAGTAGCATAATTGTTTATAGAATGTAAATTTTTATGGTAAAAATAAATCAAAGAATATCACTAAGAGCTTGAATTATTTAACATATGTAATGTATTGCAGCATTTAATTAAATTTTATCTTAACAAAATTAATTGCATATATATAAACACGGTATTATGCGATAGTAACTCAATGGTACTTAGCATCCGAACGTTTCAAAGATCGCAAAAAACCGTATTTATCTAAAACTGAAATTATTATTATTTTCATAAAAACCACACTGATGCTCTGTAACTATGCTGTTGTATTTATAACTGAAAATCACGGAATAGTAAGTAGAGTACGTGATATTGAATACAGTAATACTCTCGTTATTATCTACTAGTTGGTTGTGTATCTTCTAATCATAAATTATAACATTTGCCTGATAATGGTCACAGGAAGACACGTTTATTCGTCTATACTCCATTGATGATTAGTTATAATAATTATTCGCAGTCATAATAAATATCACTGAAAGTCGAACTACTTGTGAACGTTAACCGTATGCAATTATATGAGTGTTAAAAATCGGTTAAGAAGCAAATGTATTGCCGCAGATCATTACTATAGTTTGAACATTTCAAATGTTTAAATATGTGGCCTAAAAATATTAATGTACTGCAAACATTTTGGATGTTTACAGTTATGCAAAGAAAAAATTCGCATTAAAATAAATTAGCATAGAAAACCTAAAAAATATTAAGCAGCACCGGTTCTATTGTATATCATAAAATATTTGGGAACCAGTCTTATTTTCGCATCGCATAAAATCCTAGATGGCTAGACTTCATGATCCACATGTAAAAAAATTAACTTCTAACGACCAATAAATCAAAAATGTTTACAGAAACAATTCTAATAAAATATATTTTTATAGGCTAGTATGTGGAAAAATAAAAGTATCGACGAAAGAAAACGAAAAACACATTTTAAATAAAAACTCAATTAATAAAAACGATAAACATAAAATGTAGCTGTTATTTATTTAGATTGTCATTAACACAGATAGGAAAATTATTTCGCAGATTATAATCAAAGAACTACAAACGAAAATTAACAGTAGAACTGAGGTATCGCCTAAGGTAAATCTGTGTAACAAAAAATATGTTTTTACGTCAATAATTTTCAAACAATTATTCGGTAAAAGGGAGATAATTCTTTCAAGTTCGCATAAGTAGGTGAACAGTATACAAGGGTCTACTAAACAATAAAACTTGTATAGTTAGACTAGTGAACTGTTATATTATACTTTTGAGTTGTTAGAAAAAAAACATCCCGGAAATAAAATATATCGGTACCAATAATTATTAACTAAATTTAAACTTGCATGGTTAGGTCCTCGTTATAATTTTTTTAACAGTAATCGTTCAAACATAAAATTACTATAATTTTAATATGGATTTTTACCAACATCTCAGGTTCGATAAAACTGTTTTTCGGGAAAGGAATCCTGAACAGGAAAATAACCGAATAATTCTATACCATATGTATATATATATATTAAATGCGATCACCCAAGTTATATCATATTGCGTGTGAAATCGAAACGGTATGGATTGAAAAAAATTAATCAAAAGAGCTTCGAAATCGAAAACTAAGAAACGCGAAGGACGAAATTCAAAGTGAGAAGAACATCAGACATCGGTAACGAGTCAAAAACTATGAATACAACACGCATTGATTAGACTACGTTACGACACGTTAAGCCGTTCGCATGTAAAACGATTCAACTACTAATATCGATATATAATTAAACCACAAGTAAACAGCGTGTGCGTGGGTGTACTTATGTATTTTTGTTTGAACCGCTGTTTACACGGCAATAATAGTCCTACAGCAATCGTAAACAAGTGCAGCGGTGTGACATTGAGTACACAGGTGTATTATTATTGATATTGCATTTAATGTGTATAGTACATATCATCCGGCTAACATTATTGCCATTGCGACCCGCAGTGCTCACGAGTAAAAAACCGAACACGAGAGAATATTAAAAAAAAAAGAAAGTACAGTCGCATGTACGCGCGGAAGAATTAAAATTTAAATGATAATAATTAGGTGCAACGATAATCAGTAAGCCTCGGAACTTTATGCGCTAAGAAGTACTAAAACATGCGCATAAATATGCGGTATAATATGTAGTAAAAAATTGGAAAATAATTGCTCAAAAAATATTATATTGACTACTGACTAGTGTACACTGTACAATGAAGTCCCTTGCGTGCAGATGTGTGTAGTATTATAACGAACAGAAATAATATTGTGTATAACCTGATAACCTAATGGTTAAACATAATTGTTTACGAATTACTTATGGTTATACAATTTGTTTATGTTGTGTTACAAAATATTAATACAGTGGAAAATTTGTATAAAAATAAATACGGTGGTCACTAGTACGAGTTCTCAGTACTAAAGAGATTATAATATTATTGTTAAGTGCATTGGGAGCCGGAGCAATAGAAATGATAGCCGTTGATAAATTAATTTATTTTGTCAAACGATATAAAACTTAGAATTTTGTTTGTCATAAATCTAATATTTTATTATTCAACTATACATTTTTTTCCTAAAAATGTTGTTAAATCTATGAAATATGCGAATTGGTACAAAATATGCGAAATTTTGTAACAAAAATTTTATTCCTGAAATATACATACTATGAATCGAATTTGTTTCAAATCAGAATTTCAATATGCACTTTCCAGACAAATATGCAATTGCCTAAATTTCCGAGCCTTGGTAATCAGTGTACCGCGATCGTCCTACAGCAGTTCCGCGTGTTAAGTCTCCATCATCAGCGGCTACAGGCTGCCGCTAAACGGTCGACACACAACTTATTAACTAATAGGCTGAAGATAACTACAACCGGTACATAATTTTATAACTAGTCCATTCGGCGGGCAGTCATGCGAAACGTTATAAAACCAATTGCAACGCTAGAACCTGTGATTTGTAAACTTGTTTTGATATTCTGACAGCACTCTCCGTTCGTTCAACAGATACCGATTGTTCAAGAGCATTAATATTTGTTGCGTGCGCTCCGTAAACGTCCACAAGTAATGGTTACGCAATGTACGGGGTTTCTAATTGTTTTCGGATTCGGAAACGGCGTGGAACGTTATCGATGGCAGCGGGCGCGGAAGTGTACACGTGAAGGATGCCGTCGAAAAATGTGAAATAAGTTTACGGACAAATTACGGTTCGAGGGGGGTCAATCAGCGGTGGAGCGAGAAAATGTCGAGGATACGCGCGAAAATATCGAAAAACGGAAACGAACCCGTCCCGTTTAACCGGCGCGTTTTTCTCTCGTCCCGACGTCGTTAGCAATGTAATGTTACAACGTTCGAGGACATTTTTACGGCCGCATTGGCATACAACCAATCTGGTTCGACGTGTACGGCTGATATCTAGTGGAATACCTGCACTGTTGGTCAAGAAAAATGAAAAATGGAAGGAAAAAAAATGAGAGCGAGAGGACGGAAAAATTGTCTTTTTCACGGACGGCTGTATTGTAGTACAGGTCCGCGGCTGCAGTCGAACGACGTATTATTATCATTATTGTTATCATAATTATTATTATTACTACAATGTTTACGCGGCACCCGTCGTACGGGGAGGGGATGGGGGAACTTGGACGAGTGAGTTTTTATACGAAACGAAGGGAAAAGCGCGCGCTTAGTACACAGTTGCATAACGTCTTGGAAATGACGAGCAACTACTCGCCGATGCGTCTGCTGCGATCGTTGTCGTCGTCGGCACCTCGGACGCGTTCCGTCGGCCACTTCGCGGTTTCGTGTTCGCTGCTGCTGCTGCTGCTGCTGCTCCGCGTCCCGTCCACCGAATCCTTCAGCATTTCCTGGTAACTATTTATTATTATTTTTATACATATTTCGTTCTTTATTCTAAATCGCACGCGCTTTCGTCCTTTCTCGCGAGGAGTAATGGTCAGAAAACAGCCGCACGGAGTCGTCAATCCGGGTTGAACCCGTACGATACGATCGGGACCGAAAACTTCGCTGGATCACGTCGTACCGTCGTCGTGGTATTTTTCGCGCAACGTTTTCACCGCGTGGAATTCGTTCGAAATCGCGTGAACTCGTTTTCTTATTATTTTTTTTTTTTAATATCTCGCCACGAATCCCATATAATCAGGGGTGCATTTACACGTTTCCCGCTCGCAGGCCTGTGAAAAATTGCCGCCTTAAAATAACTTAAACTTTGGATATGGCTATAATTTGTTCACTATAAAATATACAACAATTAAGAAACACATTTTATTTAAATAATAAAACATAATTTTTTGTGAGTTAAACAATTTTTATTAATAATTAATAACTACATACAATAAATAAAATAAATTTTTCAAATTTGGATAATTATTAACTATATCGGTTTACGTCGACATCTGGTAGTAGTACAAGTGTCATTAAATTTTCAAAATTAAATTCTCTTAACACCTTTAACTCTATTGATAACAATGCCAAACTTTTTAATTTTTCATCAGTTTGAGTCGATCATAGTCGAATAAAATATTAGTAAAATGATTAATTATACTACGTAGATTAATAAAATTAGTCATCCAGTACTACTAAGTCGGTAGGAATTAGTCACTTCTGCCCATAACTAGTAGGCATTATAGTATTGCTACTATTATAAGAAGTAGAAGAATCTTTATTTTTAAAAAAATCCATCAATTTCTGTTCGATTTAAAACATTTTGCAAATTATCACTTTTTAGCTTAACATTGTTTTTATATTGTTCATCGCTCAACCATTTTTTATTCATTTTCACAAGAAAAAAAAATAAGAGTAAAAATAATAAATAAATAACAAAAAGTTAGTAGAGAAAAAAATCAATGGAAAACGATTTACGTACGAAATATTTATACAGACGGCAACGTGAACAGTAACTGAATTCAGAACAGTTGTTTATTGCTAGATATTTTAATTATTAAAATCATCGATAACGATTTCTTTCATAAAAGTTTTCAAATCTTATATATATAGTTGGCGATAAGAAATTATAAAAATATTTATCTTGTTAACTGTTGGTGAGGTAAGCTATTGTCTACTATTTTTTAGTATAAGATTATACAGTGGCGCCAAACCAAATTTTGAATGGACTGGTCAATGGTCAGCCAATTTACAACTTATAACCAACCCCACCAAAAAACATACTATAAAGGATTGAGAGTTCAATCCCTTCCAAAATGTTTAACCTATTTTAGTATTTATGATATAATTTATGTACTTAAACGTTTTAAATAGTAATTACTAAACGGGCAGTATTATGATGTATAGTCAGTTGAATTAATCATTTATTACTTGTATACTAGTCCATCACGGCACCACTCATTTTCCTAAGAATATGATCTTGTCATAACCAGACTTGAATCCCGAGTTCAACGCTACTGGGAGTATAAATAATGTATTTTACAGTATCAGAAAACCTATGAACGTAAATAAATATAATATGTAATAGCGTAAAACGTTCAACCATAGAAAATTTTCCGCCCCTCAGAATTGTCCGCTGTAGGCACGTTAATACGCCACTGTATATAATATAATCCTCGCGTTGCGTATTTCGATGCGTAAGGTTCAGCAACGGTCTTGTGCACCGACCGTCCGAACAGAATGAGTACAATAGAAGTTGTTATTTTTTCTTCTCCCCGCGAACAACGGTTTTCAAACGAATGTTGAAACGAATTTCATTGCACATCGCTGTGTTGACTTTTAGTTTAGCGCACGGCCGTGCCCTAGTCCTACGGTGTTATAAAACGAGTGGGCGCGGATTTTTCAGCCTCCAAAATCGCTCAGTAATTGATTTCACTGGCGTTGTTATATCAATTTTAGACCACCGCATAATCACTCGTTGTTAACGTAGTTTATCATGAACTTAACGAAAAAAAGAACCTTCATCGGGTACGTATAAGACAACGAAAACACTATCGTACCGATTTGAAATTCGTCCAAAACGGTCACCGGAACGCGTACGACGTGGAATACGGTTTCGAAGGAAATGTGTGGTGCTGACTAGGAGATTCGACTGGTGTTCAAGTCCGATGGCGAACAATTTTAATTTTACACACCGATGGTTACAATTTTCTATGCAATTGTACGCGTTACACGGGACCGCGCGAAGTATTTAGTCTCGTGACGATTTTTCGCGGTACGACTATTTTCGTACGAATACGAACGACAGTATGCGGACATAATAATGGAACGCTCGAGAACAATACGGTTTTATAATGAAACTTTGCCGTTGAAATCATCTGTACGTCGCGTATCCAATATGACATCGATCGATCGTCCGGGACCTACGACGTGTTTTCAAAGGCCCACTCGAAATGTGCTTCGCGTGATCCGAATACCGCCGGTATTTTCGATTAAAACGGTCGGAAACAATGTCTTATCTGTTGTTACGGTTATTGCTTGCATTTAAATTTATAAATATTTGACGTACACAAATATTCGTCCGCAACTATTTCGAGTTTGTAAAACATTTACAAGCGCGTTGTTACGTTTTAAACGTATCTACGTTCGCTGAAAACTCCTTTTACGATATGAACTACTCGTAGACTACGGTTCGCATAAATATAACATGAAAATAACGCACATTAATTCGATTTCTGATAGGTAGTTATTGTTGATTCGCAAAGTAAAATTTATACGATACAGATAATAATTAAAAATCTTAAATCACTCGTAAGTTGATGTTGCGGTAAGAAAAAAATATGTAAGCACAAAACCATAATGGACGCGCCTACATTACATCGGAACGATACGTTATTTAATGTTCGTTAAATGTACGAACACCCTTGAAAAACGCGATTTCATCAAGGAATACAAAGCAATCGATTTGTTTAATTTATCGCGATATCCCGATACGATACATTTCCTAACAAGATCAACGTAAATAAATCAACGTTTTTTTGATTAGAATAATTGTAATTATTACAGGCTGTACGTTCGTCAAAGCGAAGCAGCTACTATAACTTCATTTCTACGTTAAAACATCTAAGCGCAACCATAGGTTCAATGTTAAAAGAATTAAAGGTGCTCGACAGCAAATATTTAATCGTCCACGAATTATCTTTAAAGGTTCTACCGCATTCATATAGATCTAAACATTTATAATATACCGTCTATTATCCAATACCTTTTACTATTTCGTTTTATATAATATAATTATGTAAAATAATTAATTAATTAATTAATTATAATATAATATACGCGTATTATACGCGTGCATTACATGTATACCATATGTATACGGCGTAACACGAGATAAAATTAAACTATGTGTTAGACAACTAGGTCTGCATTAGTTCCGTCGTGCAGCGTTGCTCACGAGCCGTACAGCATTCGCAGTTATTTATTTTACCACTTATTACACTCATGTACACATTCTCGATATACATTTATACTCGTCGCCAGTTAATTATTCTTCTTCTTTCAGTCTTCAATCCTTAGATTGGTTTGCTGCAGTTCTCCATGCGTCCCTATTATTACTCAATTCCTTTAGTTCCTTATAACTATTAACTATTCAGTTGATTATTACTGTAACGCAAAAGTTTTATTCGCACAAACGTTTAGATAATTTCTGATTGTTCTTTATAAGAATTACCATTACGCGTTGTTGCGGTATTAAATGAATCGTAAATCGATAAAAATCCATTTTTTGTGGTTTGTTTCGTGAAATCGAAATGAATTTGATACTCGTACATCGCAACGCGTACAAAATATATTCTGTTTCATTACCCAATTCTGCAATTATAATTACTACAAAGATGTCACTAAATCGTTTTCCACGATTACTCTGTCGATTACAACAAGATACGTAAGTACATGTATCAATATACTATTTGCATGTACGTTGATCGTTCGAAGCTGAGATCTTCGACATTGTGACGGATGAAGGATGGTTTCCTATTTCGTCATAGGTCTCGGTAGTCGCCCACGCGATGAGTGAAAACAAAAACCGACGCATCATATCATTGTATACGGTTTTAACGATAAACGGATGATACTAGCATTAAACGCACATATTTGTCCATGCGCGCATAAAAGCTTACATATTACACTAACATTCTTGGCAATACACGATTGACCAGCGACACTTTCAGTGTCAAAATAAATGAGAAAATCCACGATCCACCGTTGCTTAGTTCTACCGCGGTTCACGTGAACGTTTCCCGGTGTCAAACGTGTACAAGTATGGAAAACATCGTGTCATGCGAAAAAGGTAGATGTAGCTTTAAATGAAACATGTCACCTACTAACTGGATGTTTGATAATCCACGCCCATACCTTTGGTACAAGTTCTAGCTGGCATAACAGCCCCCGATATTAGAAGAAGTGTGGCCAGTGATGTTCAAAAAACAGCCCAAGCAAATGATGAAAGACACTTAATTCATGGACACCAACCAGCCCCGAGCAGACTGAAATCGAGGAAAAACTTTTTGAAATCAACTACGGAGATAGCTTTGAACCAAACCAACAATTTTAAAATAAGGCCAATGGAATAACTTCCACCCGGCTATCGCAACGAATGGAACACCTGGAAAACACTCTATAGATTGAGAATAGGTGCTGCCCGAACAAAGAAAAATCTGCGATTGTGGAAGTGAACGAACATGTATCTAAACCCTGTGCCGTGTGCACCTGAAGATCTGGCGAATGCAAAAGACGCGACTACACAAGTAGCTAATCGATGGAGTAAAAAGGGATTGCAACAAAACAAAACCACGCGTATATTTTATAGCCTGGACACGATAAGGAGAAGAAGAAGAAGTGGATCGGTGTGCACCGGTGTTTTTTTCGTTCGAAACCGTACGGATTTTCGGGAACAAGATCGGAG